ATATATATATATATATATATATATATATATATATCACAACTGATTATCTAAATTTTAATTAATCTAAACATTTGTTCTCATTTGGCAGTGTATTCGTTCATTCAATCATTCACACATTTATTTTATTTTTTACATTAATTAGTTAATTAAATATATAAAATACGAAGACATTATAAATAAAACGAATTCGATAATACTATCATTAACATTTTTTTTATCTTTTTTGAAGAGATAACCGCAATTGCTTATAAATATTATCGATAGAGTAAAAAATATTACGCAATAATCTATAGATATAGATATGCACACGTAAAAATAAAAATCAAAAGTAAAAAAAAAAGTACACTTGTCAATGTATAAGTGTAAATATTAATAAGTGATATTGATGGGAGTAATGAAGATATATGGAATGAAAAATGCAGCAATTTAAACAATTATAAATTTATCTAAAATTTGTACTTGATGATAGACTTTTCACATGGCCGTTTCAAGCGGTTGACTTTTACTTCTCGATTCAGCAGACAATTGTGGAGAGAGTTCTGTTGGGTCATTAGTTGGAAGAAAATCATCGAAATTAGTTTCCAAAAGCGCCTCGCTCTTTGATCGCAACGGTTTATCTTCACCGCTATCAAGATTTGTCTCAAGTAACGTACCACTTGCCGGTCGTTGATTGTAATAATACGTTTGAGGTGGTATTACCGGTGAAAAATATACTGGAACAGGCTCGGAAATGGGTGTTGTTGGTGAATCACCGCTATTACCATAATCCAATCCTTCTTGGCTGCCGTATCGTTTAAACTCTGTTGGTGAAGTATATACCGGAGTTGCTAATTCGATATCACGCTTAAGTTCACTTATCGAGTCAGTTGTTGCTAAACTTGTATTTAACGGTAATGTTGAAGTTGTATTACTATGATGATACGGATGATACGGATGATGATGATGATGATGATGATGGTCAGGTGGGGGCGGTGGAGTTATTGTTATATTATTGTCATCATTATTATTATCAGGCGTAATATCGGTATTAGCCATTGATGGCCAATTACTCGTTGATTGTGATGTAAATGTTGAATGGTTACGAAAACCATCGTTGCGATAAGCCAAATCAAATACTGGATTATCAACGTGAGTATGAGTTTTCAAATTTTGATATTTGTCAATATTAACAGATGTTTCCTTAAAATCACTTGTACTCGGTGAATAACGTGGATTGTGAGCTTCATATACATCATAACTGTGATTGTCTTCAATCGATGAGTTTAATTGTGATTTATCCATTGAATCAAGACTTCCACCGCTCATCATTTTTTTATAATCCAGCGAACGTGATGTCAGTGTATCAGTTGACTTGGTAGCGACTGGTTTTTTTCTGTAGGCTAATTCAGTAAAACCTGAGGTAGATCCTACTGATCTTAATGAATGTAATGATTGTCGAATAGAATTACGTCTTTCAAGTCTTTCGACTTTACGTTTTTTAGACTTTGATATCCAAAATCCGATAGCAAAAGCCAGTAGAGCGATAGCTACACCAAATGCACCGAGAACACTTATCGCAACAACGTCTTTTCTCCAAGACAGTGGATCTATGTAAACCCGGGGATCTATTTCGCAGATAAATGGACTTGGTTGACTGCAGTGGTCAATTTCAATGGTCTGATATGTAAATGTTGTACACTGATCTACTTTCTCCAACTGTTGGATCCATACCCGATCGGAGTACTCGAATCGTTCTTGTTGTCGGCGTAAAAATTTCCACAGCTCCAAATATTGTCCCATTATAAACGGCATTGACGCATTTGCTATTCGACAAAATTCTCGAGCACTGTAAAAGTCCATCGGAGCACCAATATATATGTAACAAGTATCACCAACGAGATCCCAACCTGGAGGACATTTTCCACTTAGTACAGATTTATTACTTGTATGATAAGGGTTGTATTTGACAACAAGCAGTTCTGGCGAATCGCTGCGGTCTCTTATCCTTCCGGCAACAGCTATTGATTCGTTATAGCCCCACCAATTGAATTTGGCATCAATATGAGATCTCATCATCTCCAAGTGACTAAAAAAAAAAATTATAGAAATAAACAATTTTAAGAGATATATAATAAACAATAAAATGAAAAAAAAAAAAAAAAAAAAATAACTTCAAGCTTGTAAAAATATGTTGTTAATTAAATAACAAATTTTACTCACTTATCAAATGATTTCATGTTGATTACTCTGTTTATATAGTCATGCACATGCGATGCGATGTATGAAATAAAAAATAAAATCAAATTATATTTATTCTAGTTACTTAAAAAAAAAAAAAAGATAAAACATTACTAAAGCTGCCTAAAATTTAATAATAAAAAAAAAAAAAAAAAAACTTACGTTGATCTGTTGACAGTTTGCATTTCATAATCATTGTCAGGATTAAAAAAAACATTATCCACATACTGTTGTCCAGGTGTTCCAGCAACAACTGTACTTCGTCCATTTTTATCGATTGCATAATTTCTAAACACAAAAAAAAATATACAATAATTAATATTATAAAATAAAAATTAAAAAAAGGTATTAACAAAACTTACTTGTAAAAACCATTATGAGTTGTACTTTGATAAATAGGAAGTCGTACACGTTCAAATCCAGATATTTCCAACAAATGAAGACCAAGATTAGCATGTAAATAATTGTAGGACATATTGCTGACAACTTGTTTAAGTATTATATTTTTATCATAGGGCGCATAATTTTTCATAAAGTAATTTCGGTATATCGTAATCTCTTGATAAGGACTACTCTGACGGCCTTCAACATACAGCGCTGGTTTATTTAAATTTTCAGAAAATAAATTGTTGTGTATCCATCCTTTGAGTGATGTCGCTGATCCACGTGAATCAGAACGAATAAATAAACCGCCACCATTGTTATTTCTAATTAAATTATTTCTAAAGTAGAGTGATTGAGTATTTTGTACATCAAGTACTACAGCAGCATTACAAGTTGTAAAATTACCATAAAATTTATAACAATTATTTACAAATTGATTGCGCTCGAGTGTCATTATTGCGTTAACTTCACCGGCGCTTGCGTATTTAACAGCTCCTTCTTTACAATTAGATATAACCGAGTATGATATATTATGCTGAACATCACGATTAAAGCCAATCGCTGAAATTGGAAGTGTTACTATTTCAGCAATAAAACCGTGAACACCGCTGGCACCATTTGCCAATAATTTAATACTTAAACTCGGTCCTTGTGTTGTAAATAATTTTTTATTATTTTTACTGTTGTATTCAATATTAGTTATTAGTCGAGCAGTAGTATTCCATGATATATCACCGTCATAGAGAGTTATTGCATCCGGACGTCCTGGTTGTTGTTTACCAGTTGAATTGTAAAGATTAAATTGAAGTAAACGAAAGCCAAATGGCTTAGCTCTGTATGCACTCTTGAATATTTTAACACAATTAACTGGATAATTATCATATTTATAATAAATAATAACTCTTTCTTCTATTTCTATTTCTTTCATAGTATCACACATGTCAATCATACTGAATAAATTATAAGGAATGTTAATATTATCTTTTAATGGTGTAAATGAACTTTCTTCAGCTTCTCTTCCTTCACCGGTAAGTGATGCTACGTTAATACCATTACCCAAACAATTATTAATAATATTAAATAATAATTCAACAGTATAACTTGGTGATACAATATTAATACCATGATAAGCGCTTTCTTCAATAGTAACATGAGATATTATAGGACTCTTCATGATTGCTTGAATAGCTGGTGATTTTTCATTGTGAAGTATACCTGCTCCGGTAATATTTATATACTTTAATATTGATTCAACTCGTCTAACAGTCTCATGAGTTTCAATATCATGAAAACGATGTTCATAGAGATGATTTTCAAATTCACTATTTGCTACTCGAATCCCGCCCCAGTAATCTTCATACTTTGGATCGAGATTCCGTTTACCGCAATTTATAAACACAAAGTCCCCGTCCCAAGGGCAATTGTACTTTTGTCCAAATAATTGTCCATTTAACCGTATTTTACAATCCTCAAGACGTTCTTCATTACCGAAACACTGAATTGGCTCTGGCCATGACCAAATACGCGTCAAAGATCCTGGATGGAATTCATATCGGCGATCGTGTGAGACATAAGTATTCAAAGGATCGTAACCCAATTGACGACACGCAACCTGAGCGTTTCTTTCGGTAAATCTTGAATCACACAAAGGTATCCACTGTAAAGTTGTAAGATTAAAATATTCAATAAATCCTTCATTACTAGAACTCGAACATTTTCTGTCTTTACACAAACGAATTGTCATTGGTACATTATTATTATTATTATCATCATCATCAATAATTTTCCATCTTTTTACAATATTTGAATTTATTGACTCATCATTATTTTCATAAACTTTTCTTTTTTTAATTGGCCTCATTACTATTTCATGTTCCTTAACTCCTACGGCGTTTAGCGTTCCAAGTACAACAATACCAACATTTGGAGCAAATTCCATTATTACACCCGGATAAATATTAACAACAGCCTGTGGCATAATTGTTATATCTGATTTAATTACATAAGGCTCTGATCTTGCATAGAGTTCAACATTGTCAGTAATACGACCACCGAAATTGTCGAGATTTATTATTTTTTTCATTTCCCAAGAAACTGAAATTGATGAATCAAATGAATCACTCGTTAAATAAGGCTTAAAATCAGCAATTGCGTGATTATTCCAATCATCAAAATCAAATATCATTGATTTTATTTTAGTGTCATTCGTCGTACCCCACCAATTTTCACTTACATCTATTTTATTATTTATTTTAGCCGTTCTAATACCAGCCAACAATTCATAATCCATATAATTATCACCAAATAAATTTCTATTTATTTTAACTTTTTGAATTCCATTAAATCCAACAACAAAGCTTGGTAAATTATTTTCACTGTTGTTATTGTTATAATTATTATTATATTTTATTGTATTATAATAAAAGTTTGCTGGAATTTCACCTAAAATTTCAGATTGACTGTCTATGTTAAATTCAACCATACAGGTACAGTTATTTTTTTCAATACGATTGTGATTAATTTTTATTTTTTTTTCCATTCCACGTATTGATATTAAACCATTTTTACAATTATTATTGTCAAATATATTACGAGTTATATTTAAAGTTGAGTAATGACCGTCAATAATAAAAGCAAACATATTATTATTTTGCCAAGTATTGTTTGAAAAATACAAAGAGTGGGTGAAATTTTCATTGTACTGCCATACATACGGCAAAGAAATATCTAATCCACCATTTTTATTTCTTTCAATTGTATTATCACGCATTACCCAGTGAAATAAATTATTTGAATTTCTCATATCACGACTAAACTGTACAATACCACGACCATTATCAGTTATTAATGTATTGTTAATGTGAATTGTAATTTCGGAAATATTTGACGTTAAAACATTCCATAAAGGTGAATGTACATAGATAGCTTCATCTTGATTATGAGATATCTCACAATTAACTAAACGTATTGATTCATTAGCCTTTCTTAAATAATGATCACCTAATTCATCAAGATAACGATTATAGTACGAGGTAACTAGTCCTCTTTTATTACCTTTTATTTTAGTTCTTGATATAGATAGAGTTGGTACTGGTCCTTTAACAATACGATTAGGTATATCTTGAATAGGACGTGGTACTGTTGTTACAACAAATACTGCACCGCCTAATGCATTTGTTCCACTTATATATTCAAGAATAACAGTAAATGAACTAGAAGATACGGGAAATAATGATAAATCTCTTTTTACATTCCAAATATTATTACTTTTTGGATTGATATGCTGTGAATCGTGTAATAATATCTGTTCTGTGCTTCGATTTTCAATTGGATTAAGTAATTGTATACCGATAACATAACGGGCTTCACATCTTATGTTAATTAAATGTCGAACATTTTCACCTGTTCTCTTGGCAGTAACAATGTATTTTATTTCACCAGTTAAAATATCAATATTTTCAGTTCTTTCGGGTATTATTATTGGCTGATATGGATTATCAATAGTAGATAAACCAAAGTATTGCATAAACCACCCAGCAAACTCTCTCTGTTTAACAGCAGACACTACAGGATTGTGTTTAATACCAGCTATTTTATTATTTTCAATAATACAATTTGAAATTTTTAAACCAAGCTGTTTAAAACTTATACCACTTCCTCTGTTATCTGTAAAGTAACTATTTTTAACAGTATTTTCCGCAGAGGCTGAAAATATATCTGAATAAATAATTCCAAGACCGTCTTGAAGATTATTTGAGATTTTAATGCCCTCCAAAGAGTGACGAGCAAAATCTATTTGTAAAGCTGGTTTTAATGAATTTGTTGTATAGTCTAATAATCCAGCACGTTCTATTGTTATAAATTGCAAATCACTTCGATCAGCCAGTGGACCAAGACGTACACCAGCCCAAGCAGCTTCTGTACATTTAATACCTACGTCATTTTCATGAGTACACGAGTACTCAAAATCATCAAATAATTCAGCTTTACATTTAGAAATATCAATATCATCATCAGTACACTGTACATTACTCATTATTATTTCTTCATTTGTTCCGGCGTCTGGTATATTTGATCTCTCAAAAATCCAATCATCTGGATCAAGAGTAAATCCCAGTTGATGACAAACAAGTGCAGCATCTCTAATAGTCCACCCATAATTACAAACAGTACCCCATTTCTTATCAATACGAACTTGTAATCTTCCTTCTCGATTTGTTCGACCTCCCAACAGTCTAACTGGTATTCCTCCCGTTGTATCATCATCATCATCATCATCATCAGGCGGTAAAGTCATCATTGTTACACTCTCATCGTCCATAATAATAGTCACGCCATTACCATCATCATTATTATCATTGGTAATTGTATCATTACTTTCATCGGACAATAGCATAGATATTTCTTCCTTGAGTGTCATCATAATATTACTAGGACCTTTACCTTGAGCTTCTAATTTACCAGCTACCATCATTCCAACAGCTGGTGGAAATTTTAATGTAACTCCTGGCTTAAGTACCAATTTACCACCAGGCCTTACATTTATATCACGTTCAACGATATATTCACCAGCTGATAGTATTTCTAAACCGTCAACTTCACCACCAACAAGATTTGTACTTGGATGAACAAATTTAGGTATAAATGTTGGTCGTGATATTATTGTATTTGTTGCTGGATTAGTACTGTGAAGTAAATAAGGTAAATATTCTATTTTAGCTAAATTGTATCTATCTTTTCTATCAAAAAGTCTTTCTTGTATTTTTTCTTCATCTATATCACTCAACCAATTGTATGTACAATTAATATTTTTACTTTGGTCCTCTAAATGCGATCCAATTTCATATTGAGAGTATAAATTATTTAAAATATTACGATAAACATCAACATTTGCTGATGAAATAACTAAAACAGCAGCGACACGAGATCGTGGAATTAATTTAGATATTTGTTGTTGTTGCTGTTGTTGATCAAATGGCTCTTTAATTATATTATCTCTTAAATAATTTCGTGTAAATATTATTTTTTGTACATCACTGTAAGGTGATAAACCAATACTGGCTACAAATACTCCACGATTTTCATCAAAATAATTGTATTGAATAATAATGTGTGCTGGTAAAATATTGAATTCTTCAAAAAGTGGATTACGTATAAGTAATCCTCCATAATTATGACGACTAAATTGATTGTATTCAATTTTACCTTTTATATTTAATACCGGAGATAATTTAACACCGAGTTTATTATTTTCAATAAATACATTATGCCCTATTTGAAGATACATAGTACCTTGATTGTATTTCCAACTAGATTCTATTTGTACAGCGGTATCTGAGCTACTGTTGAAACAATTACCGGTTATATTAACGTAGGATAAACCAGTTGAATTTCCAACAAGTACACCAATATCTCTATTCCGAAATATTTCCGAGTATTCAACAACTGTTGTTTGATTAAAATGCAAGTATTCTGTGGATGTGCTGTCATTTAACCAAACAGCCAGACCATATCCTTTATTTGATGAAATAGTTGTATGGGATATATTTCGATTACCCCCTGTAACTGTTATATTTATACCAGCAGCATAATTATATGATATTCTACTGGATGTGATGTTAACATCTGGAACACCATTAAATACATGAATTCCAGCAATGTGATTATTATTAGATACCGAAGTATCGTGAACATGTAAAAGTGAACGAAGTTTTTCAGCAGCTATTCCACGTCCGTTGTTGTTTGCAATAGCGCTGCTGGTAACATTTAAATCATAAAGTTTTTTATAACCGGCAGACAGCTTAACAAATGCAATCATTTGTGTACGAGGTTGAGCATTAAATTTAAGATACAAATTATGACGAGTCGTTGTAATACTCTGTGGTAATGTACCGTTTCTAACAAAAACACGTCCCAATAATTTGTCACTGGCACTGGTGCCGTCATAAACTTCTATTATCGCGCTGTCATTTCGATCTGTTTTCATTTGTAAAAATTGCAAAGTCAATACGTGTCCTGGAAGTGTTATAATTCGTTGAGGACATTCCTTTGAATTTAAAGCATAATAATTTTGTTCCATCGACACGGTGATGGGAAAAGTTTGACTACTACCAACTGGAAGTGTACAGAGATCATGAATATCTGTTCTATCGAGTCTATCATCGGGTTTTTCATCGTGATTTATATATTTTATACCATCGGCTCCATTATCTAATACAACACAATTGTCAATGTGTGTTAATCCCGTTGAACTATTTACGTAAATACCATACCCTGTACAGACAATACAAAATCACATTTGTTAAATATATTATTGATAAATATTTTAAATAATTCTTATTTATTTTACCTCGATTGCTACGAACAGTACAATTAGTTATAGTAATTGGAGCCTCAGGTGAAGTGATATTGATACCCGTAAAAGATGAATAGAGTATTGAAACCCACTGCATACGAGGTGGAACACCTACCACATGTAGAGCAGATGTCACGTTATTATCTCTCCCTGTACCCGCGTACCTAGTTTAAAAATATAGTTCAGTAAATAATATTTAAAATAAAAAAAAAAAAAAAAAAAAAAAAAAAAGGAAAAATTTTATGATAAAATTATTATTGAAACATACTTGATAGTAACATGTCGAAGAATTGATTTAGATTGTCGTACGTAAAAAGTATTTTCTTGAGTAAGAGGATTATCGTAAGAGGCGCCTTCAAAACGAATACCACGCCAATTATTTTTTGCTTTACTGGCACCATCGTGGAAAGGTAAACAAGTGATTGCCAAGTCAGGATGATAATCACAAACACCAGCACCGAGCTGTCGAGATGACCAATGTTTACAATCTTGAAGAGATGATTCAGTACCCCGGCACTGTGGCTCTTCGTAGAGTAACCGCGAACTAGCTGGCCATTGTCTGTCAAACCAGCCTGACCATTTTCCGCCTTGAAATCCGAGCTGACGACAGGCTATTTCGTAATCTGCTCGAGTCCAATTTCGTGAATTTGTACAGACAGACCGCCAAGAACCCTTGTGGAATAATTGGACTCTACCCTCAAGAGGAGTTGGCCCATCCACCAGACGAATCGATCGGGACTCTGGTTGACCAGACGATGTTTCTGAGCTTGTTAAAGATATTTCAGCATCTGATTCTCCCTAAAAATATTTATTAAGAACAAAGTTTATTAATTGTCATAACTCATAACTGTAGATAATTGATTAAAACATTAATTCACTCTCAGTTATAATTTATAATATATATATATATAAGGTTGTTAGGTCATATGGGTTAATCTTGGTCAATAACTTTAAATTACTCTCTAACCCGTAGATTAATTGTACGGAAATAGAAGTTACTTATACTTATATTTATACTTATACTTAATACTCTTTCTTCCTTACAATTAACAGTAAAAAAATTTAATTTATATAGTTCCTCTGTTTTACAGAGTCTATAAATCTCATTAATTTTATAAAACTAACTAATAATGTTGAATGATTCATCTCATCATGAGGAAATAATTAAATTATTAATTCAAACATTAGTTATTATTAGTTATTAGTCATTAATGTTTGTTATGATTATTAAAATATATTTTTTAATAATATACAGAGCGAGAAGATGTAGAGTAAAACTAAAACTATATTTAGCCTTTTACTTGTTAAACTTCCTGGATATTCCCGCAAGTTTCGGGCCACTGATCTTTACGGTTGGTGTTTACACCGGAACTTAATGTTTCTCATTGTCAAGATATGTTTCTTTGTGTATTTCAGGTAATAAAAACATTTTCTCTATTCTCTATTAAACTACTTTTTGCTTATTCTTTACTTTTTATTTTCTTTTGAAAATAAATTTAATTTAATTGTTAAAATTATTGCAAAATAGCAAAATAAAATTTACATAATAGATTAAAACAAGTTGGGGGAATAATTCAATGAGTATAGCCTATTCCCCATTCACTGGTTTGTCGTTTGGGGTATTTCCGGCGATAGGATAATTCACCCTACAGGTATAATTTGATACGCCAGCATACATCTTTTTATATTTAAAATTTTTTATCATACTTAACATCCAATAATTTCATTCATATTTGAATAAATCTCAATTTTATAATTTAAAAAAAAATATAACTTCTCATTGTGTCTATCTGTTTTTATATAAAATAAAATAATATGGTCAAATGACAAAGTAATTTTAAATGTATGTACTTTTAAAAAACAGCAAAAAGGGAAATTATTATTTGTATAGAAAATATAATGTACATCACTTCAAGTACATGTATTTTTTTTTAGTTATTAAATATGTGGGATATACTTGCACACTCAGTAAGTACTCTAATTGTATTGTCGAGTATGCGTGTGAACGAGTGTTAAAGTAACGGCTAACGTCAGTAAGTTACGGTAATTAAAGTAATAATAAGCTTTGTCTCTTCTTATACATAGGATCAATTGTATACGGTTTAAATTAGTTTAAGGTTACTCATCTTTAATCTTTCGTAATCTTTATTACATTAACTGATATTTTCTTTTTTTCCTCACAAATGTATGTACATTTATTTATTTTTAGCTTTAAAAATGATGCAGAAATTTTTTTAAATCATTAAATCATCGTGAATGAATCACAACGAGAATATTTAACTGAATCATCACTGTAATCACATTTAATATGATAAAGGGTGTTTAGTTTTTTAGTATTTTGTCACAAACCGTATCTTTTTAGCTTGGCTTTTAGCTCGTGCGTTAAGTATTTGATAAGATAAATTTATCAATTACACTGGATACACCGATATTATGGTGTCAGTTGAATATAATAGTTTTTTTACCTATTTAAATCAATATACATTCTATGAAAATACGTGACCTAAAAAAAAAAAAATTCTTAGATTATTCAGTTGAACTACAAAAGATTTTCTCCGATTTGAAATAAAGTTATATATATATATATATATACAGTTGTAGAGTTTTTTTCTTATAGAAAAACGAAAGTACAATTGATATATACCTATATTCTTCCCGAGTTCCCTCGAAGTCATTGATCTTTGAAATGATAATCATAAAAGTACGGTCATAAATTTTGTTTCATTTATTGTTCTATATTATATAAAATTTTACGACGGCAAGTATATACCCATTAAACTTTTTTTTTTTTTTTTTTTTTATCGCTACAAGGTATGTAATCTTTTTTATTTTTTCTAATTTTTTAATCTATCTACTTTTTAATAACATGAATTTTCATGACTATGGAATGTCGACTACTATAACGATTCTCCTCTTCACCTTCCTCCCTCTACCTTCACTATTTATACATATATAACTTTGGAGTTGGTATTAATATATGTATAAGTATTATAGATATAAAGTTGATAGACAAAGAACATTCTCAAGTCCATTGAGTATATCCTGCATACAACCACACACACACACACACACACTAAATAATAGAAGAGCGTGTGTACGATTGGTCGAGCAATGCATTTCCTCTCACTTAAAATTCAGCTCAATACAACAAATATTTATAAACAACAAGTGAAAAAAAAAAAAATGTATTACCTTGGCTGTTATAACGCCTCGTACAGTAATTCCAACCATAGGCGCAAACCTGATTTCGACACCAGGTTCAATAATTAGTTGTCCATCCTTTTCAACGAAAAGATCTTCTTTTAAAATATAAGGACTGGAAGATCGTTTGAGTATTCGTTCTCCACTAATAATGTGTCCACCAGGTACTTCATTGAGCTCTGTTGCGACATTATTATCAGGTAAATTAGAGGGTTCCGTGTAGTAAATAGACGGAATGTCCGTTGAACCCTCCGGTTTTCCATAACTAAGACACAGTATTGTCCAAAAAAGCAACCACAGCAGTTGCATTTTTATTACCAATAATTTATTCTTATTTATAATAATTAACATGATTAAATATTTAAATGAAAACACTTTGTTATTTTCAGCTCAAACACCATTTCTGGATTTATCCATGGTAAAAAACAATCAAACTTTTCACTTTTTACAGAGAACAACGTAACATAAACATGTAGACGTTCGATTAAAAATATATATTAATGCATCACCGTACTATTGCACTCTCGATAAAAATACATAGTTGTACTCGTACTCGGTGGATTCACGATTCACTTTCCAGGATTTGCTCATCCAAGACAATCACCCGATTGGATTCGCGTAGGAGTAACTAGTAACTGCTGATGACAAACACACTGAGAAAACATATTATATCAATTTATTATTTAAAACTCCTTAATTTTAATCACTTATTATTACTGATGTAATTATTTTTGTTGTTGATATTTAGCATACCAAGAAGAAAAAAAAGAAGAAATGTTGAATCCAAAAAAGAGTAGTTATATATTGTCGAAACAAAATTGTTTGTTGGGTGCGGTTTGTTATATACTGGTAAACTGGCAGTTACTGGCAGCACACGGTGCGACGGTATGACGGTATGACGGTGTGACGGTGTATCGTATGGTGCTACCAGGGATTACCACAGCCCGCTAGTCAGACAGACGCTCAACCACTCTTCACTTATGTGTGGTACCTATATCAACGGAGTCTTTGTCGGTCTTGGTGACTCTTGGCTGCTTTACTCTCCAACTGCTCTGACTTTGCTTTTACTGAGTATAGCAGAGAGGTTTAATCAAGCTTACTCACCAAGTCAGTCCCATACTCCATACTCCTCTTGTATTCAGCCCAATACAACTTAACCTGACTCTTCTCTCGTCCCTATTCGTAAATGTTCGTTATTTTATCGTCGTATCAATTTTCACGTGTGTGTTACTTTTCACCTTTTCAAAGTACTGTACGTATACGATTTACTGGTCACGTGATTCATACGTCACGCAGGTTATTGTGAAACAGGTGAACATAATAACCGTGATGTTAATAATAATAATAATGATAACAATTCTATGGTGTTGATTTACATATTTTTGAGCATCTTTATCAGAATATTTCTTATGTTTTTTAAACCAATTGCTGTAATTTTCAATTAGAAAATTCAAGACATTATAAATAATACATAATTTATTCTTTCAATAAAAAAAAAAATTAATGTGAGAAATTTTTAAAACATTTTTTGTAAATTAGAATTGATTTAAAATGACAATCATAATAAGCAGATAGCATTTACTGTAATACCTGTAATGTATAACAAATTTGATTTGAAATGATTTTTTCTAAAAAGAGAAGTTGATTTGTAGATGTTGACGTTATTTCCCCGTGGCCTGTTTATCTATTGTATGATTGGTTGTTTCTGCTCCAATGAAAATCATGGCGGGATTTTTAAAAGCAACAGTAACGTTGAAGAAAATGAATCTACTTTCACAAATAATTTATTATAAAATATAAATTTAAACCATTTCTAACGAGAAATAAAATTAAAAAATAATGTAAAGAGCTAGAATTTAGTTTGAAACTGTTGTAATGTACAAGTTTCAGCGCCTCCATCCAGCAGGGCAGTTGATAAAAGCTTCCATAACCTATATAGTATATATATATATATACAGCTCGTTATTAGTAAATGAAAAAATAAAAGTGTAATACAACTGCAGCATTCGAGTTCTAGCTTAAAGCTCTTTTATTAATTCACTTGGAACTTGGAGCTTGGATTGAATTAAACCAAATCAGCAAGCTAAGGTAACTGGAGTTACGCAGTATTAACAACTAGTATTATTAAATTTTTGTCTCATTGTTTTGCATTTATTTTGGGAATTAACAATAATACAATCGATTCAATCGAAACAACAAAATAACTTTGGATGAGTTATTACTTTGTTGTTTACACTTGATTATAATTGATAATTTGGAAGAAAAAGGTGAGTATTAGGAAAAAATACTCCAATAAATTATATATAAAAATATTTATTATTTTTTTGTGTTAATTTTAAACAATGTCAATTCATTTATTAATTGACATTTGAAAATTTATGTGGTTGATTTAATAAATGTATATGCAATTATTGATTACGTAACTTGAGCTAGTTATTTTTTCAAATTTAAATTACATTAATAGGACTCGTTTATATTATATTATCTTATAAATTTTTTTATGATTATGAATAAAACTATTATTGGAAAATGTTTTGAAAATAAAAATAAATTATTAAAAAATTTAGTTAATTTAAATAACTATGGAATATTATTGATTGTTTTAAAGGTTTCAGTTAATCACAATGGTGGCACACACAGTTCTTTTGGACTTTACAGTATCATCAAATGTAATTGCTGACGTTGACAAAAGATCAAATCTCAAGTCAACAATTGTAAACGTATTGAGTGATTATTTCAATGGAATAAAACCACTAACCGAAGTAACTATCGATGGTAGCTTTATAATTCTGTACAGCGGACCAAGAGCCAGTCTCATTACTGTTAGAGGATATCCACAAGGATTAGTTACTGTCAATGTTGAGTATTACAAACAAGATGAAGATGAACCGTTGTTATCTTTTGAGGTACTGATATTTATTTTTATCAAAAATTATTATAATTAAATTTAATACTTGTTAAAAAATAAAATTAGCATAGAATAGTGAAATGGGGCGATAAGTAGCGAGTTAATGTGTGGGTGTAGATGTAAAAATAGGAAAAAAAAAACACGGTTTAACTGAGAGGATAATTGTAGCAATGGCGTTACTTGGAAGCTGATATTGCCTTGGCTTTGAATAGCCAACGAAGCAAACGTTTACCACCTGTAAGGCGAGGCACCATTTATGATCTCTATTTGACACTATCAGGTAGAAACAAACTACTTATCCAAAATTCGAGTTTATTATAACATTTATTTTTATGTTTATTTTGTTATTTTTGTTTATTTATTAATTATACACACACTTACACACACACACACACACACACACACACACATAATGTTAATATTAAATAGGTTGTTCCCTTTTTTTTTTTTTCTATAATATATATAACCACGTATAATATTTTTATTTATTTTTTACAATAAATTAGATATTTAGAGGCTAGTCGGCTTGCCAGGAATGCTCAATGGGATACCCCAGCACTTTGTTATATATTTATATATACTCTATAAATTACATATACATTTTTTTTTTTCTTATTTTGCACAGAATATAAATTTTTTTAAACATTAATTTTTTAGTGCACAACTAAGGTACTACGTCAAGTCCTAACAAACCATATTAACAACTTGTTTAATTTAGTAAATTTATTTTCATCACACCACATAGTATTCCTATAATTATTTATGTTATTATTATTATTATTATTATTATTATTATTATTATTATTATTATTATTGTTGATTGATGTTGTTGTTTTTTTTTTTTATTATTACTATCAATGTTGCATTTCACCAATTACATTTGCTTGACTGTTAATTTATAAAATATATAATAATATACATGTGAGGGGTTTTCTCATTTTTGGCTTGGGTTCATTAGAAAAAAGAAAAAAAAAAAAGAATGTTTCATCACGTGTATATATGTATTAATTATCAAAATACTGGTATAGACTATGTATAAATTAACAAAATTCGTAAATCAATAATTTTAGTCTACGTAGATGACGTAGAAAAAATTTTTTAATTAGATAGTACGTTTGTTCTGTTTATTCGTTGATTCGCTTGATGGCTATGATAGTCGACCAGAAACTTGGAGACGGCAATGCAGTCAGCGGCAACAGCTACGCGATCACATACGCTTGCCCCAATAAAACGCGGTGGCCCATTTGAGAGATACTATCCTACCAGCGGTGAGTTTTATTTATTATTATTTTTACGGGAAAATACCGATAATAATTATTGTCGAATAGAATCTAAAAAAACTAATACCGAATGCCATCGATAATTCATTAATTTTCCTTTCCCTCTAGCAACAAATATTAAAAATAATAACTATTCAAGGATATAATATTGATCAATCACTTACAGCTACTTTTTAATTATATTTTATTACCTGCATATCACTTTACGTGAGTGCTTTCAGCAGTACAGCTTATAAAATTATTACACCTTTATTAATTACTAATTAGTAATATTGGCTGTGCTTGAGTAAACTATTTAGAATTTATTTTATAATAATATTGATATAATTATAACTTATTAAATATTTTCCAATAAACAATCTCCTAAATATTGTAATATCTAAAATCAATTACGTTACTATTGCTGCATGGTATAACATTACTACAATTATTCAATTGTTACATTATATTGTTGTTCACTGTATAAGCACGGATTTTATTTTTATTACACATCCACGTATAAATCCTTTTTATTATTATTATTATTATAACTTTTAAATTATTTTTTTTTTTTTTTTTTTAATTTATTTGATTAATAAAAATGTGTATTTATTATAAATTTTATTTTAAAGATGAAAGACTACTTGAGTACGATATTGATAAACTGGTATTCGAAGAGAGATCGCCGTATCAAAAAGTCCAAATAGTCCATTCAAAGTCTCTTGGTAATCTGTTGGTATTGGATGAACTGCAGAGTAAGTCCAGAAATACAATTTATAATTGAAATGAATAAATAATTATTTACTATTTTATTTGTTTTTAGATATGTCTGAAGCAGATATAATTTACACGGAAACTTTGATGCAAAAGGGAAAAGAATGTTACGCAGATAAAGAAATAGTAATTTTAGGCGGAGGTGATGGTGGTTTACTGTGGGAATTGCTCAAAGAAAAACCTAAACACGTAATAATGCTTGAGGTAATTTGTTTTGTTTTAAATGTTAACAGTATCAAAAGTTTATAAAAATAAATTTTAATTTTAGATTGACGATGTAGTAATAAAAGCTTGTAGTCAGCACATGAGAAGTGTATGCGGTGATTGCCTAGACAAAAGAAAAGGCGACAACTATGAGGTAAAATGACATATAATGTATGTGTGTATGATAAACTGTATCACTTATGATTTTATTTCACTGTCTAAGATAATAATTGGCGACTGTGTGGAAGCGTTGACGCACATGGTAGAAGAAGGTCGTCAATTTGATTACGTCTTTGGGGATTTAACTGATTTACCAATCAGTCCACCTGATGGAGATGCATGGGATTTTATAAGACTTATTTTAAATAAGACAGTCAAAGTATTAAAATCTTCAGGAAAATACATGACACATGTAGATAAAAATTTATTTCTTTTACTTTTTAATAATAAAATACTTAAAATTATAATGATTTATTTATATTTCAGGGTAATGGAGCATCTTGTCCTGAAGCTCTAACGATGTTTGAAGATGAATTGTCACGACTATCAGTTCCAGTGACATTTACAAAAGACCGTGCTTTTATTCCTTCATTTTTTGAGGATTGGATTTTCTATCAAGTTTCCCGTAAATGATTAATCAGATATTTACAGTATTATATTATAAATTCAAAGCATAATTTTTTCTCAATATTATGACACATTGTAGTTAGATATATATATATATATTTCAATTAACAATAGGACTCAATCTTACAATTATCTTTGAAAATAAATTTAAAAAAAAATGATAAATAAATAAATTAAATAGATATGATGAGAACTTTAGAAACGCAAATACATACATAGTTATAAAAATATATATTTTGAGTAAACTATCACAAATTAAAATATAATAGTCATATTATTAAATTACTTATTTATTTTTGAGAAAAAAAAAAAAAAACTAAATAAGCATTGACAAAGCATTTAATCTTTAATATTATACAATATTGATTCCTTTTAAGGATTATATCTAAGTTATTTATCTTATTAATATAAAGTGAAATACAATAAAAACATTTTGCTTATAATTCAATGAATTGAAATTTGATTATTCAGTAGAAATTGATTTTTAAATAATAATAATAACATCTAAACATAAATTTAACTGATTTTTCGCACAATAAATCCTTGCCAGAATAAATTTAAATTTGTATTTCAACTTATTGTACTACTTATTGTATTATCATTATCACATTTCTATATAAAACGGAAAAATTTTTAAATAAGAGCGTTATTTATTGAAAAATCTGAGTTCTTGTCTGATTTTTATTAAGAAAAAATAAAATTACAATAAATGCTCGGGAATTGTATACGATAAAAAAGCTAATTTTATCAAATTTAAAAATAAAAAACAAGTATACATACATTTATATAAAGTACAAAGCGACAAAATGCTGTGTAAAATAGTCGTTAACTATTTTACTTGTATACATAAAAAAAAATGCGTAACGTATCGTCAGACTTTTTCATTGGTTTAGTTTTTGGCCCCGATAGAACATAAATACATAAAATATATATTATAAATAAATTACAGACTATAAAAAATTATAATTATTGAATTAAGTAAAATATTTAAGTTTCTACTAAAGATTCGGAGCAGCGAAATTTAGAAATTTCATCGGTAAAATTACCAATTTCTTGTATTGAGGGTTCTGTTTCACTTTCAATTAATATTTGCTGAAGCCACTGCTGAATTTGTTTTGGATGCTCATCAGTAATTTGTTTATTTTCAATACTATTATTACTATCAATAACAATTGTTTGCTGCGGAAGATGATTATGAGAAGCTATTTGTAACTCTGAATAAACATTTAAAGTTGAATTTATTGTTTTATTATTATTATTATTATCACCCGATATGTTAATTAAGTTATCATCATCATCATCATCAACATTATTATTATTATTATTATTATTATTATTATTATTTTTTGAACACAACGGTGAGCAATCGTTATCAGTTTTATAATCAAGCGATAATTGAGAGCTTAAATTAATTTTAGATTTTAAAATACTATCAGAACTGTTATCAGTTTTGGAAACATTTGAGAAAGTAACATCTGATAATTTAATAATAATATTATCATAGTTTTCATTAACTTGTATTGATTTATCAAAAGTAATATGATCTTTTTTGTCATCTTCGTATTCATGAATACTGTACGGTTCGATATTTTTAACAATTAAATTGTCTTTACTATCAGGAAATTCAATTTTACCAAGTTTAATAATCGACAAACTAATATCTTTGCAGTCATTTACCAAATCAACTCCAATAGCAGGTATTGAGTTAACTAGTTTCCAATCGGACTGAATTATAGATAGTTGCTGATTATGAATAGCCTCTATTTGTCGAAGCAACTGTTTCTCTCTTGCCATTATTGAATTTTTTAAATCTTCAAAGCAATTACTAACTTCTTTACGCACCTATAGTTTAAATTTATTATTAATAAACATTTATATTACTATTAATATGATATTTAAATATTTACCTTTGTTACATTATCTTCCAGTGATTTTATTTTTTCCGTTATTATTTTAATTTTCGTTGCATCACTCTGGTTATCTGTTGGTTCTTGATTTTTTCCCGTCATTATATACTTATATCAGATTTAATAAAACACAATATTTATAATATTTAAATGACTTTGTTGGATTTACTAAAAAAAAAATTATAGCGGAGATTTTTGTGAGCAAACAGTGAGAATCAGCTGCTTACACTAAATATATACAGGATCCGAGTTAAACGAGTTAACTATATAATAACCACATCATTCTGCACACATTATCACACACTCTCACTGCGCATAGTCTACAAAAAAAAATTACATCTATACTTATTTGTATGAAAGTAGAAACCAGGTATATGAATTAATATTTAAAACTCATTTTTTTTTTTTATTTTTATTATTATTGCTTTATTATACATTGCCTATTATCAACAATAGAAATATAATTATATATAATATCATTTATAAAATTTTAATACCTAAAGATAGTTATTGAAAGATATGTATGAAAATTTATTGTGTATATAGGCACTTTTTTTTTTATATTTTATAAAAAAATTTATCGCATTGTACTTTTTACACTTAAAAAAAAAATAAAAATACCGATAAAATTATTCCTATAAATATTTACATTATTTTAAATATCAGGAATTTAACAATTTTGAAAAGTAATAACAATTGTCATATTTTAGCTACCTAAAAAATTCATACAAGCAATTAATATATTAATAAAATAAAAAAAAAAAAAAAAAAAAAAAAAAAAAATTAAATCTAGTATATTGTTTAACAAATTTTAGTTGTAAAATGAATATTATTGCTTAAAAATAATACTTTGAATATAGCATAATAGGATTATTGCTATTATTTTAATTATTTATTTATGCAATTAAAATGACTCTTTCGGGTAGTGTTGATTACTACCCCGACGACTTTTATTGTTACGAGTTCGAAGTAATGATGCATCTGACAAAGTGTAAGTTCCTGGTTCAAATACTGGAGGATATTCCAAGCCAGGATAATCATCAGGCGGTGGTGGTGAAGTTGGCGGTGGGATGTACGGCAAAGTTGGCGGTGGAATCGATGATGAATTACTAATGCTGGTATTACTGCTGTTGGATGGACGTTTTTGACACAATGGATGATTCGAAGGACACTAAAAATAAAATAAAATAAAATAATTTTTTATTTAATATTCATAAAATTTTCAAGCAATTTAAAAATTATTACCTCTTCTGTATTGTAGTTATTGTTTGGTGGTGTATCAGGTCTCCAATCGTTGATAATAATTGAACTAGCAGAGCTGATACTCTGATTATAGTAAAGATGAGACTGATTGTAAGTTAAAGACTGATTTGGTCCACTAGAATTACCAGAATTTGACCCGTGTGATTTACCAATAACTTGCCGTTGGTTTGTATTTTTTTCACGAAATAATACCCGATGAAGTTTTGGTGATCCCAACAAAGTTTTCTGTGGTTCCTTGGAAATATCAAGCGTTGCAGGTTTTTGTGAATTTTTATTACCAAAAAAACTTTTTAATCTGCTGCTGCTGCTGCTGCTGCTGCTGGATTTTTGTATGTGCTCTTTATCAAGATGCATTTCAAATGCAGCTTTCATACCATCTTGCTCGAATGGACTTGTGGGAATAGGAGGTGGTTGATATTGAGCAACATTTTTTAATCGAGACATTTCATTAGCAGCGGTGGATATTCTTTTGTTGTCTGAACGTTTGAATGAATCTGTTAACCAGTATTTGTCAGAGCGAGGAGGAGGAGGAGGAGAAGAAGAAGAAGAAGAATAGTTATCATGTCGTCTATCATTTAAATTAAAACTGGCTTTTCTACTGACTAAAGTTTCTTTTCTCGCTCGTTCAAATGTTTCTGATGATGGAGTACAACAGCTCAAATCACCACTTGATCCTGAATAACAATTGTTGTCTCTTAAAAATATTCGTGATGCTGACTGGGAAATAGTTGATGATGCTGCTGCTGAATCATTGTTACTTCTATTGAGAGAGTTGAATTTTTTAATAACACTATTATTTTCTGGTGTACCTGAGTTATTTACATTTTGGGATCTGGTTCTATTTAATAAACTACTGCTTGAATCTCGTGAGTAAACTGATTCAAATGATTTATTGCCAGTGTTATTATTATAACTGCAAGGTAAAAAAAAATCATTTGATTTATTTGGATAATAAATTTCCATTCCTTCTTGATGTTGTAATTTTTTAGCACTTCTGGAGTTATTACCAGCACCAGTAAATTCATTTAATTTTCGTGGCAATGGTGAAGGTCGTGAAGAATATTCATCACTCGAAATATTAAAATCATGGGAAGAAAATCTTGGTCCATAATTACCATCTATTTGATGTTCAGGTATTGAATTTTCATCTGAATTATCAGGATAATTGTTGTAAAACTGTCTATTGACACCAACTGGCGACTCGTGTCCATTTCTAGGATGTCCATAGATCATTCCATTGGTAGCGAATCCATTACCACTGAAACTGTAATTTTGTCCACTACTACTACTACTAATATTATTATTATTATGATTAAGATAATCATGGGTTGAAGAAATAGATCGTGGAGATGCTGATCTATTATTATTGCTATTGGATGGACGAGAATGATTTTCATTTTGATGCGAGAGCATAAATTCTTCGAGAGTAATAACACTTCTATCATCTGGCCTGGTTCTATTTGAAGTAGAATACAATCTCTCGGATGTTTGACGATAATCACCCATATCTTGACTACTGTTGCTACCATGAGGAATATTTTGTGAATTTATAGGATTTTGTGAGCAAGATAAACCATAAAATGTGCTACTACCAGCAACAGTAACGGGAAAATCCAAAGAGTTTTGGACTGGTTGTTGTAATAATTGTTGTTGATGCTGTTGTTGTTGTTGTTGTTGTTGTTGTTGTTGTTGTTGTTGTTGTTGTTGGGGTTTTTTATTTGGCGTTGATGATGAGGATGGTAGTACTCTTCTGTAACTTCTAAATTGAGCTGTTGGTACTGGTAAATTAGGAGTTCTTGAACCTAAAAATCTCAAATATTTTCTGTCTAAACTAGCACCACCGGTTTCTTGATTTTTATTAGAACCATTAGAATCTTTTCGACCAATTTTTTTCAATGATCCAAAATGTATTTTGCTACTGTCTGATGATGATGAATCTTTTGGTTTCGTTTTACTGTTAGTCTCAGTGTCACTCTCATCTGTTTCACTAAACAAACCACTGGTACGATTGTGAGTATCAGCGCCTAAAGTCGCTCTGTTTATTGAGTCCAACCAAAGCGATAGATAATCATCAGAGTCGGCTGCAAAATAAAATACTGTACCAGTATGATAAACTTTAAATGCATACTTTCTTGATTTAACTTCAGATGCTTGTGATGCTGTAAAACCTGGTAATGCTATTAAACAATCAGATTTATTACTGTCTTTATTTTTAAATCGATACAAAGATGATCCTTTCAATATAAACCAAGAACGAGCCCAAGCACCACCAGCACCTCTGCTTCTATAAGTAAGCCATCCTTCTAAATCTCCGACTCCGATATCTCTGACAGATACATTTCTTCTTTTTGCTAATAATAAATTACGTTTTCTAGTACTTTTAGGGCTTGAGGAACAAACCTTTGATCCACCATGTAATCCAATACTTCTTGCTACCATCATTGCTCTATTAACAACACCTTTTTCATAGTCTTTTTTATCTTTTTCAAGAGTACGAGACTTTGAATTTATTATTTGTGTTTGTTGTGAAAATCGTGGACCATCCGGTGAATCAATAGCTGTTACTGTTGATTCTGATTCTTGTCCATTATTTAAATCTGATAAACTTGAATTATTAAAAAATTTATCCGAAAATAATTGATATTTATAATGAATACTTCTGTCTGTTTCAGATGTAATACTTTGTTGTTCTGTATCAATAAAATCTGTTGATTTTTCAACAAAATTACGGTATCCATCATAAAAATCTCTGTGTTGATTGTAAGGTACATAATTATCACGTCTAGTATCAGATCTTTCAGGCCTCTCTGGTTTTTCATATTTTTCATTTCTTTCAGCAATATTTGGATTAACATTTATTAGCAACGATGGTGGAACTTTAGTAAAATACTTACGAGGTGGTGGTTCAGGCGGAGTTTGTCGTACTTTAACAGCTGAATTTAAATTTTCATTATCAATAAACTTTTCAGAAGATATTTTGGGTGATGAACAAGATTTAAAAGGCACTTGAGTACTTGTTGACTCGTCTGTATAATTATTATTTGACAATAGTTGAGCTTCAATATTAACAGTGTCGGATTTAACAGAATAAACAGAATCATTTTCCGATATGGATTTTAAAATTTGAGCCTCACTACAACTGCTATTACTGCTATTGCTGTAAATACCTTCCTCTAAATAACTGCTAGCTGATTCAGATTTATCTTGACTACTTTCACGACTTATACTACTATTATCTGATAATTTAATAGTCGATTCACTGGATGATAATCCATAATTACTAGCTTCTGTAGACACATATTCATTATTATTTTCATAATATATTGTATTGTCATCTAAATTATTAGTTGTAGTTATTATTGCCCGAGATTCATTATTCATATTATCGTTATTTATTGTTTTATTATCAATATCATTGCTATCAATGGTGTTTATTTTTTCATTATTTTTAATATTTTCTAAATTTTCTTTTTCCCAAGTGACATCTGAAAAATTTTGTTCCGATGAATTTATTGGATCAGTCTTATTTAACGTAGGACAATTAACATTAGTTGAATCAATTTTTGATTCCTTATCCCAATTATCACTGTTAGATGTGTTAGGTGTTGTTGCGTTTGATGGTGATGTTGGAGAAAATTCATAAGATTCTGTCAAATCACATGTAGGAGTACTGTGACTCTTATCCAATTTATTATCACGATTTTTGTTATTATGATTATCCAAGTCATTATTATTGATCTGCAATACTTTTAAATCATTAATAATATTATTATCAACACTAGAATTACTACTATCACTACTGATACTAATTTCTTTGGATGTTTTCCAAGGCACAGTATTATCACTATTATTTTTATCGCTATCAATAGTAATATTTTTAAAAATTTCAATAGTTACAGAGTTGTTAATATCATGATTATTCAGTGTATCATTATTATTATTATTATTATTATTATTATTATTATTTATTTTAGTCAATGAACCACTTTCAGTTGACGATAATTTTTTGGGTAATTGTATTTTTTTAATATTATTATCATCGTTTGTTTCATCAGATTTTTTTTTACGTTTGGTAGCTTCAATGCCTAAACATGTTTGTGGCCGTAAACTACCGGAGGTTGGAACACTATCAAGCCCGTGGGCGCAGGAAGCCGCTTTATCACGAAGCTGAAATGTCGTATTGTGCTCTTGTTTCAATTCTCTCCAAAATAATTCAATATCAACAGCATGTTTTGATGTTGGACTGGCTCCTGTTATTGTTGCCCGACGTTGTACTAAATTTCTCGGTTTTGACGCGTATAAACGTGCCGATAATGCTGGTTCAACTTCGCTGTCAGATTCACTGCTATCTGTAGCCATGGTATCTGACATACTGACCGTATCAATAATATTTTTCGGTTCTGGACTTGGATCTTTCGGTGTAACGTGTCTGAAAAATAAAAAAAAAAAATATATATATATAAATATAAATATTAATTGATTATTCAATTTTAAATAAATAAAAATAATATACTTTGGTAATGGCATTGCAAAATCTGGTATAGTTAGTAGCTCTGGTCGTGGTGATGGAAGATTATGTTGCCATCTTGTAGTATAAGATGTTTTTTTATTACTTGGTAATCGATAGGGTTTAATATAAATTTGACCATAAACTTTAGTGTGTCTTGGACGGCGTTTTAATGTTAATAAAATTTCAGCATGACTTTCATTAAATAATTCAATAACATTTTTTCTTTCCCAACCAACTACTGTTTGATAATTAACTTGAACAATTTCATCACCATCTTCCATTTTACCACACTGATGGGCTGGAGAGCTAAATTTTATTTCAGCAATTTGATGAGAACCATGAAAAGATGGTAAAATATAAAATCCCAATTCATCACCAGGCCTTTTTTTTAATGTTGCTAAATCTAAACTCGCTGGTTGTAAAATCATCGGATCAGTCATATCCTGTATAATATAATCAGCAAGTTTAGCTAATTCACCACATGAATTTCTTATTTCTTCAATTGGTTTCTCAGCAAATCGATCTCTTTGAGCACAAGTAGCTATTTCAATGGACAATTTTAATAACTGATTTTTTTTATCATTATAATCCAATTGTCCGCTAAACGGAGAACGATCAAGCCATCTTACCAGAGGTTTAACTGTTTTCATTACCCCAACAACATCAGACAGTGTTTGCGTTTTAAGTGGTTTAGAATCTGTTTGTCTGCACAGTTCATTGTGTAAACTGTGAGCTTGACAGGAGAGACGTAATGCCAATAATTGTAAATTTTCACGATCCAACTCATAGTGAAAATTTCTCAGGTACTCAACAGCTTCTATTATTATTTCTTGATGTCCCAATTTAATTACTCCTAATTGTTCTAAATCTTCCGGTCTCAAATTTAATAATTGTTGTCCATTAACTTTATTATTTGTAAAACTGTGCACATAAGGAAGTACGGAATTGTCAAGACCTGAAATATATATTATTTATTTAAAATACAGTCAAGTTTGTCACGTCCTCAAGATAAATTAGACAAAAAATAGTAACAATAGTTGATAATATTAAACGGTATAAATTGATGTTTTATTATTTTTAATTAAAAAATATATATATACCTTTTAACCATTCACAAACTTGTACAGTTTTCCATTCTGCAACATTGACATATGCCATGACCTATTGTTGTTGTTATCTATTGTTCTACGAAACATCAGATTATTTTACTGTCTGTTACTGTCTTACTACGTTAATAATAATAATAATAATAATAATAATAATAATAATAATACATACAACTATATTGGAAAGCACACTAATACAGCATAATATCATTCTTGTCAATTTTTGGACTTTATCCGCTGATTTCCGTCCTTGGAATTATTTTTTAGTAACGACGCACCAGTAGTATTTGCTGTTAAGCAGACACCAAGACACACTTGGACCAGGATACCACCAACCACCAACACAAGTGTCAACCAATGTAAGCATCAACTATCATCTCAGTTCTTCGGTATTGGTCAATGTTGTGTTAGCACGTACATACTGTGCAAAAAGCTACTAACTGTACACAAAACTATAAAAAATGAAAAAAAATATTAAGAATAACACTTGAGTGCCCCCCACAAATAATAAATACATTACCGACTGTTGATTGGTATATATTTTTTTTTTAAAACATCATAGCATATACTATAATAAATATAAGCACAAGAGTATATATATGTATACATTGTTATTCTTATTGCTTTTTATATTGCTGAAACGGTTTTAGTGAAATCTGAATCATTTATTTTATTTAATTAATTTAATTACAATCAGACTGTTGTTATAATTGTTGTTATTAATTGTTTAGTAGTCATACACCTATAACATTAGATAGATAAAAATATAGACAGTCATTTTATTCGTTAAAATAATAAAATATTGACATTTAAATTTATCGGAGAACAATTAAAAACTATTTTGTCAAGTCATTAAGGTTAAAAATATAAATTGTAAACATTTATTATTGATAAAGTTATATAGATGATTAGTATAATATATTAAAAGATTAATAACAAAGTATAACATCAGTTGACAAAGAATGTCTGAATCAACAAAAACATCGTCAACAACGACAACAAAGACAGCATTAACAGCTGGTCGTCGTCGTAAACGAGCTCAACAAACTACTACTAATTCCCGATCACCATCTCCAGATACCTACATAGATCTGACAGTAGATTCGCCAGTATTACCAAGACAACGTAAACAATCTTCAACCAACAAATCTCAACCTACCAGAAATAACATTGAAATTCTAGACAATACAATAATAATTGACGATACAGATACATCACCAGCAAGGTTTCGTACAAAAATTTATTTATTATTATTATTTTTGTTTATTTATAAAAAAAATAAATAACCATTTTTTTAAATTATTTTTAGCCGTCCACCTAGACCAGTTAGACAGAAAAGAACAAACCGAAGTGCTAGCAGGTCTGGATCATCAGTTGGTGGTTCTGCTGCGACTGCTACTACTTCTGGTACTGCAAATGCAAATGTTACCGCAACTGGTTCTTCAACTGACATTGCCTCTACTGCAGCTGATGTCATTGAACTCAAAGACGACAATGCTGTGAAGAATCGAGTTGAAAAATGTAAGACAAAACAAGCTGAGGAACCAGCTTCTGCTGTATTGTGTCCAATATGTTTTGAGGAATTATTGAATACATCTTTAAAGGCTATGTCGACTAAATGCGGTCATATATTTTGTGAAAATTGTATTTTAAGTTTTCTTACTTCAGGAAAAAAATGTCCAGTATGTATGGCTCCGGTTACTCGAAAAGGCTGTATACGTCTTCATCTTTAATATTCATTTTTTTACTTAATTTTGTTAATAATTATTAATTGTTTTTTAAACAGTATTTTTCATTAGATTTAATAATATTTTCTTATTTTCTTATTTTTTTTTTTTTTTTTTTTTTTATATATATTTCAATAGTTAATCCCATAATATTAATTCGTATTTTGAAATAAGCTTTAGAATAGTAAATACAACAACTAAATGAGCTTTAAATTTTAAAATATAAAAATTGTTCTAAATAAATTAATTGATAATAAAATAATAAATTAATTATTGATAAATTTGTACAAACAATCAATAAATATTTAATTAATAATAAAAATAAAAGATATTGAAAATGATTATTTTGTTTTATCATTTTGATTGTCGTTTAAACATCCAGATGGCTGTTTAGTTGTAAGATCTGTTAGTTAGATCTGTGTGTGTTGTTATGTGTGTATAAGATTGCAATACTGTGCGCAAAACGGAAAATAAAACTCAGCTAACAGCCAACAGCCAACTATTTAAAATGAAACAGTGAAAGCCATTGAACGATTCAACAGACTGAGCAGACTGAACAGACGGTGCAGCAGTAAAGAAACTTTCTTTATTAGTAATAAAAAAAAAAAAAACCAGTTTTATCTACCAGAAAATCCATATAAATATTTAAAGATAATCGTAATAATAATTATTATTATATTATTTAAAAGCCATTAAATTTTTGATATTTATACAAAAAAAAAAAAAAAAAACTATTTCATTGTTGTGTTGTTATTGTTATTGATATTATTGTTGTTGTTGTTGTTGTTGTTGTTGATGTTATTGTTTTAATTGTGATAAATAACTAGTGATATAATTAACGATAATAAAATAAATATTTAAGATATTGATAGACCCAAAGCAGTATTGGAAGATTGGATATTTAAATTATTGAGTACTGAAAAAGTATTAGCAGTACGAAGCAGCACTGGTAAAACTTGTATATACTCACCTTACCAGTTCACCACACAGCAACAATACACAAAGAAACAACTGCCCGTGTCAGTGACATACGACACACGGGATCAAATGTCAAAATTGTTTCCAAGGGCTGGTCCATTGTTAAATATACGTGTATAATCATTTTATATTTTTATTATTAATCTCGAATTTATTTCGAATAAATTTCAATTGAGGTGTGTGCGTGTAAAGTGTATTTTTAATTTATTTTTTTTTTTTTATTTTAATAAATCGCGTATCTTTTTTTTTTTTTCATTATTTTTATTTTGATATCATAAAATATAAATATACATTAATAATCGTGATGATCAGTGATGACTGTTGCTGCATTCACGCCGAAACGACTGAATATCCAAATTGTCATTTTATTTATTCTTGATAGTGTAAGTTTATATTTTCTAATTAATTAACATATACATATACATATTTTTTTTTTTTAATTATATACATTTAAGGTTATTTCAATAACATTATATGTATATTTTTATGCAAGTAAAATTAAAAGAAAAAAAAAAAATTGTATTTACAATTTGAATTAGACTTTTAATATAAAAGTATAAACAAAAAAAAAATGAATATTTTGTTTTGTTTAATATTGAAATGTGAAATCAATCAGCTGTTTATTTTATAATTTCAGGTAATTCAATAACTATTGGGGTGTGTTACTCTGCACAGTTTTTTCAAGTGTTATTTGTAATCAAATCTGTCTACGTAATTTGCATAGTTATTATTTAACATTAGTTTGTTATGACTAAATATGACAACAATCAAGAGGTGTGAAAAGACAATTTTTAAAATGATAATATATTACTATAATAGTAATAACAATAATAATAATTAAAAAATAATGGATCAACAGTGATTGTTTTGATGAATTTAAATGACTCAAAAGTAATGCCTGTTCACCAGATCAATGTTAATCCCCCTGATTGGCAATCACCCCAATCTCTTGATCCTTCTAATAATACCAGTCCATCAGGAGGTGGTGAATGGTCACCAAAAGTAAGTTTATTATAATAAATATATATACATTTATCTCGAACCGCAAACTCAAGATCATCATCATGCATGTTATATACCTACAACACTCTACAGTTTAAATATTTAATATGACTCCCAAAATAAAATGTTGAGTGATCTACATTGGCTCAAGCCAACTCATACTAAAATAACTTAAATTTACAACTAATATTTATTTAAATAGTACTGAAATAACTTTTATTTATTTATTTATTTATTTTTTTAATAATATTAATATCAAAAAATAATAAGATATAATAGCAACTATTTAAGAAAAAATTATTAATAAAATACTATATTTATAATTCTTTGAAAATTGTAAATATATGACTGATTAAATGATTTTAAAATTTCTTCATCATACACAACATTTGTCATGGTCATGATTAATTTATTAGGAATTAAAAAATAAGTATCATGAAGACAATAGCTGATGATTAATTTCATTGTTCTTATTAACAATAAAAATAAAATTGATTAAATACAGTGTATAAATTATAATATTTTTTGCTTAGGAACCAACGTACGCGACAGTTGTCACTGTACTACCAAATCATTGTCATTCCTCTATAAGCACACTGTCCTCAAGTAACCATGACATTTGTCGGTAAGTAAATTAATTATTATTATTATTATTATTATTATTATTATTATTAGTATTATATAGATATAAATTTAATAAACTATAATTTAAGGATATGCCACTGCGAAGGTGATATTGGAGCTCCTCTTTTAGCGCCGTGTTATTGCAGTGGTAGTTTACGTTATGTACATCAGGCGTGTCTTCAACAGTGGATTAAAGCATCAGACACACGTGCATGTGAATTATGTAAATTTTCATTTATTATGCACGCAAAAACAAAACCATTTTCAGAGGTAAATTTACTTATTCCCTAGTAATAATAATAATAATAATAACAATATTAATTAATGTATATATATATATATATATATATATATTATAAAAATTAAAGTGGGAAAAATTGGAAATGTCAGCACCAGAAATACGAAAATTATGGTGTGCTGTTGCATTTCACGCAGTAGCTGCTCTGTGTGTAGCTTGGTCTCTTTATGTTTTGGTTGAACGAAGCGTTGAAGAAGCGCGTAAAGGATTCGTTGATTGGCCATTTTGGACAAAATTAATAGTCGTTGTAATTGGTTCTACTGGTGGTCTTGTATTTATGTACATTCAGTGTAAAGCTTACATTGAATTATGCAGAAGATGGCGAGCGTTCAACAGGTACTGTTATTATTATCAATTATAATAATCAAATTGAAGTTATTAAAATTATTATTTCAGAGTGATATTTATTCAAAATGCTCCAGAAAAAGTGGTGCTTCCTCCTTCACCAACAGATTCACTTAGAGAAGTGACGTTACCTTTAAAAGATCCCACTGCCTCATTGCCAGAGTTAAATCGTAGTCTATTACCGAGAACTTTAGATCCCTCTTGCGCCTCAGAAACAGTTAAACCAGAGGTTGCTTCGGCTGCCCAGAGACACGATGCTCAACTCAAATTATACGTATTCGACAAATTGTCATCGTCCGAGGATAATCTGTAGTCCAGATATAAAAAATATATTTGCTTAAATTGTAATCGTCACGTGTAATCGTCATACAATAATATCTTATACATAATAATTGTACACAGCAATTATGGTGCAACCATATATATTATGTATAAAAATAATCATCTGGACTATGATACAACAACAAAAAATAATTTTAATTATTATACCAATAATAATAATAATAATAATAATAATAATAATAATTATAATGATAATGATAAAATAAACATTTATACGTTATTTTGACCGGGAGATAAACAAATAATTATAACATTAATAATAACAATAATAACAATAATAATAATAATAATAATAACAACAACAAGATGAAAGAAAAGTCTGTTGGTGCATATAAAATAAACCTATTAGCTTCCAAAGATACAAAAATTTTGTATTAGCATTCTCCAATCTTTGGAGCATACTTTGACTTGATACTTAGTACTAAGTTTATAATTATAATTATTGTTATTAATATTATTACTACATTGGTAATTAAGGGAGAGAAAGAGATTTAGATATATCGGTTATATAAAAATATTTAAAAACTGTATTGTCTCTCCATTAAACGATTGTGTACATAATTATTATATCTGTGATGTTATTCAATAAAATTTACCATATTAAATAAATGAATATGATTCTCGTAACATTCCAATATTATATACTTATAATAATAATAATAATAATAATAATAATATTAATTAATAGATATATTTTATCACGTGATAGTTTGTAGATAAAAATACAATATCATTAATGACATTTATGCTGCAGGCCATATTATTGCAACATTTTACTAATAATTAACTATTGTCTATATTAATTTGTAATGTACATACATTATTTAATATTAATTATAAATACTAATAATATCATTCGATATTAATAAATTTTTTTTTTAAACAAGGAAAATTATGGTAAGGGTTTAATAATAATAATAATAATAATAATAATAATAATAATATACACCTGTAATAAAAGAGGAGAATCAAATATAAGAGTGGGAGTAAAATAATAAAATTGATTTTTCGAAATCCACCGAATTGTGTCGAGGAAAGCCGAAATGAATGATAAAACAGCTGTGTGTTGTATGTTATATGTCAGATGGCGTCAATATATCAGTGTGTGAGTGCTTGTAATATGTCTACTTTTGTCTACTAGCTGCTGTAGTGTTTCTGTGTAGCGTATGTACAGTTGGAGTGTAAATGTTGGTAAATGTACAATAATTCGGTTTTGCGCGAGTCAGTCGCGATTTTCATAAACTTCCATCACGTCTGCCCTGTTGGGTTAATTATTTAAAAATGTAAATATTCATTCTACTTATACGTTCAAGTGATCACAGTGCTAGTATATTATTAAACATTATTTAATAAAATAATTACACGTTAATTATCATTTTTTTTAACAATACTACGCCTGATAAAATGTCTGAGTTACGACAGAGAACGGTTGGAGAATCATCAGCGGGCGTTGTACGAGATCCCAGTGAAGATCAGGCAAGAATATTGACGTTTTGTTGTTTACAACTAATTTCGTTTCTCATAACTCTTTACATTATCTTTTTTTTTTTTTTTTTTTTTTTACTTGCATTGTTATTATTATTTATTAATATAAACAAGAAACAATTAGAACATTTAACTTTAATAAAAATAAAATAAAGACTAACAAGTACATTTTTTTTTTTTTTTTTTTTTTTTTTCCTCTAATTGTTACTTGTAATATCTAGAGAGAAGATATTGAGTCGGAAGATGACGCAAAACTGGAAGTTGATGAATTGGCGAAAACCCTACCACAGGGTACTGATCATACCCCAGGTATCCTCGAATCTGTTGTTTCTGGCTTACCCGAGCGGTAATACTTTTTTTTTAATTTAGTTATTTAATTGTACCAATAAAATTTTCTAATGATAATGATAACATTATTATTATTGATTATTTTTAGCTGGAAAAATTGGGTAATCAGGGGTATTTTCACATGGGTAATGATTGCTGGTTTCTGTCTTATTATTTATGGTGGACCATTAGCTCTGATGGTCACAGTAAGTATTGCATTATGTAAAAAATATTTACTCCAAAATATATATGGTGAATTTATTTATTTTTTAGACTTTAATTGTCCAAGTAAAATGTTTTGCTGAAATAATAAATATTGGTTACGCTGTATACAGAATTCATGGTTTACCTTGGTTTAGATCATTATCATGGTATTTTTTGATTACATCAAATTACTTTTTTTACGGTGAAAATTTAATGGATTACTTTGCAGTTGTGATAAATAGAACAGTAAGTTTATTTAAATTTAAATAAATATATAAAAATAATGTCTTAAGTAGCTACTAAGCAGACAATTGAATTTGTGTGATTTACATATACTTTATATAAATATATGTTTAGTGTATTCAAATCTTGACACAAAATCAATATATATATATATATATAAACTTTTGTATTGCACAATATTAAACGTGAGGATATGGCTTCCGATAGTTGATAGTTCAATTATGTTATATTCAATTAAATATTAATAATAATAATAAATTATATTTTTTAGGATTATTTAAGAGTTTTAGTAACTTATCATCGTTTTATATCATTTTGTTTATACATCGTTGGTTTTGTTTGGTTCGTTTTATCACTTGTCAAAAAATATTACATGAAACAATTTTCATTATTTGCTTGGACACACGTTGCTCTTCTTATCGTTGTCACGCAAAGTTATTTAATTATTCAAAATATATTTGAAGGCTTAATTTGGTAAGTACAATACCTAATTATTACAAGTATAATTATTTGTTTATTTATCTTTTTTATTTTATTTTAGGTTTATCGTTCCAGTAAGTATGATTGTAATAAATGATGTGATGGCATATGTATTTGGATTCTTTTTTGGTCGTACTCCCCTAATAAAATTATCACCTAAAAAAACATGGGAGGGTTTCATAGGCGGTGGTATTTCAACAGTAATACTGGGATTAATGGTAATGGATTATTAATTAGTTATAATTTTTTGATATGTAAATCAATAATATTTAATTAAAATAAAATAACTATTTATAATTTCAGATGTCATACGTAATGTGCCAATATCGATACTTTGTGTGTCCTATTGAATATAGTGAATCTTTAGGACGAATGACAATGGACTGTGAAGTTTCATCTCTCTTTAGACCACAAGAATACGTACTTCCGGAGAGCTTACAAGCTTTTACTAGAATAGTACGCATTTCTATTTATTTAAATGTAAAATTATTTTATTATTATTGACTATTAATTTATATTACAGGTTAATCTCAAGCCTAGTGTAACTCTGTACCCCTTTATGCTACATTCTCTCTCAATGTCAGTATTTAGTTCAGTTATAGGACCATTTGGTGGTTTCTTTGCTAGTGGATTTAAACGTGCATTCAAAATTAAGGTAATTAGCTTTATATTTTATTGTTAATGTTATGAATAATGTAATAAAAATATATAATTAAACTCTTCAGGACTTTGGTGATGTGATTCCCGGTCATGGTGGTATAATGGATCGTTTTGACTGTCAGTACCTGATGGCAACTTTTGTCAATGTCTATATTTCTTCATTCATTCACACTGCATCGCCACAAAAACTATTGCAACTTGTTTACAATTTGAAACCAGAACAACAGTTGCAATTATTTACGGCGTTACGAGATTCTCTAGAGCATAGAGGACTTCTTAATGCTTCTTAAGGTTATTTTTTGTTTCTTTTTTTATTTTATATTGATATTATTATTATTATTATTATTTTTTTTTTTTTTTTTTTTTTTTTTTTTTTTATTATTACCACAATTTCAGTAAAAACGATAAAAACTTTGAGAAGCATTTATGTGCAATCATTCCAATACTTTATTACTAAGTTTCATCAATTTTTATATTTTTAAAAATATAATACTATCATTATTTTTTTAAAGGTATAATAATCCAATCAGGTACAAATGTAGGTCATTGCAATATTAGATGATGATTGATGGTGCGATGAAAAAATATTTTTAAACTAAAACTTTTATTTACATGTTTCTTTAACATAAAAATAAAAAAACAAAATAGACTAATGACATTTTCAACATATTTTAATAATTTTTTATTTCTTTTTTTTAATTCAATTAACTGCAGTAGCACTTTATTAAAATAAAGTGCTGATTGACCAGGCCAAAGATTTATTCCACAGTTTACTGTATTTTGCCATAAAAAATCAGTTATTACGTAAACTAAACAAATTTACTTAATTAACAGGCCGATCTCAAGTCTTGTTATTATATTTTTATTCGAATACTTTATTATAATTAAGCTAAAAAATTATACAATTACTATAATTATGAGATGATTTGACAATTTATTAATTGTTTATACAAAAAAAAAAAAAAAAAAATTTATTAATCAACTAAATATTGTATAAGTAGCAAATGATAATTATTAATGTATTATTTTAAGTTGACTAAATGAATTTTATAATTTTATTTATTATGTGGTATATGGTTAAATGTATTACTGGATGACTAATTTATATTAATTTATTGTTAATCTTCCATTATACTTAATTTTGAATGTCATAACAATATATAATGACTAACAATTCGATTATGTGAAAATTTATATATATATATTATACAATATATTTATCAAATTTATTTATTTAATCAAAAATATAAAAAAAAAAAAATCATATAACTATATGTCACGTTAAATAAACTAAATCTTGTTGTATTTAGAGTAAGTGAAAAATCATTAATGATCTGTCTGAATATCGATGTTAACACACAAAAAAAAATTATAACGGAGTAATCTCCAAAAATATAGTTGTTAGTAAATTAAAGTTTGAAAAGTGCAAAAAAAAAAAAAAAAAAACAAAACAAGAAAAGAAAGAAAATAATGGAATGCGTTTTATTGTGTAATTAATGTTATGAGTATTTTAAATTATTTAATAAATGTGTTAATATATTTATGTAGTATAAAATAAAAAATAAAAACAATCTTACAAGTGTAATAAATAAATCGGTAAAGTTTTCTTTTTTTCTTAAAGTCTTATTATACTTTTTTTTTTTATTATTTATATCAATGGTCTTTTATAAGCTCGTAACTGATCATGGTCATAAATAGTATGTATTTTATGATACATATATTTAAAAATGTACAATAAATTATCATATTGGCCAGAGTATTTTTCATCATCTGTATTTACTTGTTTAATATTGTAATTTTCGATAGCGCCATATGTTTTTGTATGCAATTCAACTAAAAATGTATGAACTGCCTCAATAGTCGCCAAATACCAGCGAGGACTTTTCTTTTGATGCCTCCAAAATTGTGATATTCTAGAGCTGAAAACTACACAAGGAAGTTCACGAAGTCTTGGATCCTTGTAAATTGACTTGGTTTGTTGCCAGGTACTATCAATAAATATTGCTCGAGTTATTGGATAATAATCGTCTTCTGTTTCTGTGTCATCAGATTTATTTTCTTTATTCAATCTTTTCGACAATAAATCATCAATACTAATAGCATTTTTACCGGGAAATATTAATACTACCTGAAATATAATAATAATAATAATAATAATAATAATAATAATAAACAAATAAATCAATAAAAAATATTTTTACAGATAAAAGTTACCTTATCATTAGGTGTAAAAATTGGAAAGTCTGGATAGATATAAATAGTAACATCTTCTGGAGCTAAAATAGCAGCATGAATAGCTGTACTTTTTCCCTCTATTTCCTTACGATGCTTAATTATATCAATACATATAAATATAACCTTACAATATACCTTAACACGTGGAAAATACTTGGAGTCAATTACTGGAGTGTAGCAAGTGTAACAGAAGAATTTACGTGATTTAAAACATTTTCCACATATTTCTCTGCCTTGAACATCATCCAAAACACTTGGATCATCTATTTTCAGATGATCAAACGGTGCTTTGTCAATAATACGTTGTTTATTTTCCAACTCATTTAATTTTTTTGTATTATTAATATTTATTTTACAAGTTTCTGTCATTATTTTATGGTCACTCGGTGTTTCAACCAGTTTCAACAATTGTTGCTTGTTGTTCTACAGAGTTGGTAATAAAGAATAATTTCTCAGCTGATGCTCTTGCTCGGTTTTTGTCTGATGATGTTGTCATTATTTAAACTAGATGGATCTGCTATTATATACCATACAACAATAATCAAGGCCATAAGGACTTCCCAAAGGCTTTTATTTTCTTTTTTTTTTTTTTTTTTTTTATTTTAAAATCATCAAAAAAAAAAACAGGGACATACATACATACATGCTCACGTTCGTTATTATTTTAATTGAAAAACCAAATTCGTAGAGGTTATAAACTATTTGTTTTTTTCAGATTTCGTAAATACATTTAGAATGTGTTAGTTAATAAGTCTATATAATTGTTTAATATTTATTAAAACTATTTGGTTGATGGTAAGTTCTTGTGAGACTTATTCTTCACAAGTTTAAGTTTAAGAATACTAAAATTAATTTAAAAATTTTAAAAAGTATAATATCTTGGAGGTTGAAAATCTTTTTTTTTTTTATTGTTTAATTGTTTATTTTGTGTCAAAGAAGAAAAAAATAATAATAAAGAAAGAGTAATTTTACGTTTGAATGGACACATATCTCGATTATCAATTGAAAGTAAAGAAATATAAGGGTTCACGATCAATACCTGTATTGATTACATACTGGAAAAAGAGCAGGAAGCAAGAGGAATAAGAGACCGGTACGGGGAATGAGTAAAATAAAAGAGAGGTGTATGTTTAAAAGTATTTTTATCTGTTCTGTTATTGACATATATTAAAAGAATCTGAGTAATTAATATGCACTCTCTTGATTGCTAATGGGGAAAAAAAAAAAAAAAAAAAAAAAGTGATAAAAAAAAAGATTCATCTCGACCCTTTCTTTTTTATTATAATTTCAGAGGCTAAAACAAAATAAGTTATAAATGTTAATCTTATTATTCAGAAAAGGATTTAACTTTATTTAAAGATTATAAAGTTTTAATACTAATTGAATTATTAGGTATCGTATAACATTAAACTTAAAAAGAATATAATAAGAAATAAATATTTATTAAAGCAACTTGGTGAATTAATTAACATGCTTTCTTGTCATCATCATATATATTGTTAAAATAATAATTGCTGATAAGTATGTTTAGTATTAATAATTAATTAACAAAATTATAATAACATTGTAGTTTCTGTATAAGTTTATTAAGTTGACGCGTGGAATTCACCCAAGTACTAAGTGCGGTCAAGGAGGATCGCTTCTCTTCTCTTGGTATCAAGTATATACATATATACTGGTGTTAATAAACTAATTCGATTTCTGTTGCACTTTGGCTTTTTAGTCATCATCAAATAAATACCCAATTTATTATCTTCTCTTCTATACATTTATAATTTAATTAATAGAGTCCATGTTACACCATCAAAAGCAGTATATATAGATTAATTATTAACTATATAAATGAGAGTACATGAACACATAATAATATTATAATTAGTCATCATGTCAAACTAATTTAATACGGAAACGGATTTGTTGAGTCATTATACCATTAAAATAATGGGTGGATGTTTTAACCGCATCAGAAAAATCTAATATTTTAATAATTTGCTATAAAAAAATGAATATAAAATAAAAATAAAAATAAAAATAAAAGTATCTTTTTCAGTAACTGAAGGAGGGAGGAGGGAGGAGGGAGGAGGGAGTTGGGAGTTGTAAATAAATTATACAAATCTGTGACTGCTATTGCTTTTCATCGTTAAAGTGACACATTGCATCAATAAGAATCTTTTTCTCGTATGAGCACGCACATAGTTTATAAGGTTGTTTTAAAACAGGAAATATTTAGAGTGACGAGTGTTTGGATGTTACAATTTACATGCAAATTAAAGTCCTCGGAAATACACCCCCTCATATAATAACAATAACTATAGGTTATTTTTTCTCATCTTGTATTCCTATATATTCAGTGAATGAAATAGACTTGTCGACTCATTTTCATGTCACGTCAATAGTCATCTCAACTGATGATATACCAAGTACTAGTCATCAACCTTTTTTTCTTTTTCTTTACACATTTTTCTCTATTATATATTTCTTCGATCGATATATATTAATATTATATAACGCGTTATCTCCCATATGCTGTAAATTATTACAAAATATATCCTATAAGATAAATAAAATACACAATAATACTAATATGCAATTTAGTTTTATCAACATTCGATATTTTTTCAAAGTTTTAAGTAATACTTGTTATAATGATAATTGATAATATATTTTTTTTTATAAGGATGAATATATAGTTGATTAAAATAATAATTATAATTGTCTATTTATAGGTATACAAAGAAGAAGAAGAAGATGAAGAAAAAATAATCCTGTAGCTAAAGCTTTTAATTTATTCATAAGATTTTTGTTTTAAACAGAATCAGTATCAAAACGTCTTAATTATTAAATAATTCTTATTGTGTGTTTAGATGAAAGCTCTCGTGATTGATCGACGAAAATTTGAAAAGAGATTATCATAATGTATCAGAGAGGGAAAAAAAAATAAAATAAAAAAAAAACAAAATTCAATACTGAATTTAAAACGATTTAGAACAGATTTTGAAAAAAAAAAAAAAAAAAAAAAAAAAATTAACTTGTGAAGAAAAAGTTTCTCAAATATTTACCAATTTGAATTATAAATGACCAAATTTTAAGTAACTGCTTAGGAATAACAGTTTCCAAATCAATCAGAATTTTGAAACCGGATAAAATTTTAATTGAAGAAAACAATATATAGAACTAATTTGTGACATATTAACTAACGCATTACCCAAAAAGATTACACGGAAGACTGATCATTATCTTAATTATTGAATTTACATCATGATGAAGCTATGATGCAGACAATAATTCTAGAACGGCTGCAACAGTAAAACTGTTTTATTATATACAAACTCTAAAAGGAGTAATATTGAGGTTATTACCACTTCTGAGTAGTGGAAATTGAAGCTTATTAAAAGAGCTTTACGATGCATTTTACCGAATTATGATATCTTATCTAGATCAGTAATTATACCAAGTTGAAGTAGTAAAAACATCAATTTTTACGATTTTCAAAATTTCAAAATCCTGTCATTTCCAAATTACTCGACCGATTAAGCTCATCTTTGAACTTAACCTTAGTCTTGATCGATAGATAAAGCATGTTGAGTTTGAAAAGAATCGGTTATAAATTGAAAACGCTATCGCGTGCTGACAAGCCGCGTTATATCGTATAAATACATACATATATAAACTTTTGAACTATATACATTTTCTGACTCAGCTCGACAAACTGAGTCAGAAAATGACTGAATTTTTTAAAAGTTACGCCATGCACAGAAAAAAAAGTCATCTTGAGTCAAGTAATATTTACTTGATCCAAGTATATTCAACTGAAGATAAAATATATTCTTGAGTTAATTAAATTTTTTTCTTGTTTTGGTCAATCTTGGTTTAAGAAAATATTCCCTAGTTCCAACATGCTTACCAACTTGAGTGAAGAAAAAAACCTCTTAATCCAAGTAAATTATTCTCTTGGTTTTTGAACTGCTTGCTTCATGTACACACGGGCGTATCGAGGCCCGAGTAGGACAGCAGCCGCGCAGAAAACCCATATTCAACATTAAATAAAAATTATTGTTTATGGAGCTGGAGTTCCGGGAGTCGAGACTTTTTTTTCAGAAATTTCCTCCTCTTTAAGGATCTTTTTTCTGATTGTCGATATCACTTATAGTTATTGAGTTATTAACGCAACAAATTTCTAACCGTGTACTTTGTATGAGTCGAGCGAATACTTGTATATACAAATATTTTCGTCACTACACACTTAACTGTAAATCAGTAATATAATGGGAAATCAGCAAGTTAAAAATTAATTAAAAATGTCTAATTAAATGAACACAAACAATAAAAATCATTTTTTTAAATTTAATTTTTTATTAAAAAAATCTCGGTTTAGTTCCAAAAAATCACGTCGCCAACGTTGGCGCTACTTTCCAAACCAAGAGAAAGATTTACTTGGGATATAAGTAGTATATGACATTATTAATAGTTCAAGAATAAACAAGGACTTGAAACAAGAAGTAAATTTTCTGTGTGGGGACGGCTGCAATAGTTAGATTATTATAAAATCTACTAAAAAGGATAAAAATGAATTGAGAATAAATATAAGGCGCAACAGGTGAAGGATTCCGGCATCTCTGAGAATAAATGTACAACAACAACAACAACAACAACAATCATCAGGATAAGGAATAAGTGGTCAGACTGTTTGCCAGCAGAGTGATATTTCACGATCAAGATTACCATGATAGTGATGTTGCGCAGGATGATTGATCAAGAAAGCGCTAACACGTCAGTATTGTGTTATGCGTGATAGCCATAAGAAGAATGAAGAATATAGGGTAAATCGGCGGTCGTAGAAATAAAAAAATTGAGACAACGTAACTAAATATAGACAATATTTTATATAGGCAGAGTAGTACCCAAGCGTAGTACCCGTAGGACTACTGGTGTATAATTGGTTGAGATAGAGAGAAGAGTGAGCGGCGCTCCGGATAGGACAGTCGCTATAAAAGCTCACAACCACTGGCTTTACGACGTCACACGCTGGTGGTCCATTCTTCAGTGAGGAAGCCCCCTTTCCTTAAGAACTTGATTGTCAACAACTACCCGATAATATATATATATATATATATATCTATATAATTTTTAATTAACAAGTGAGAATTTTAATTCATTATAATATTTATCAGTTTCAGTTTTTTTTTTTTTTTTATTTAATAAATTAGATATCATTATCGTGAAAATTGAATTTCAGTATAATCTGGAAAGTAATAACTTGGTTTATCTACTGGAGCTCTAACCAAACAATTATTATTGTAATAATAATTTAAAACGTGCAACGGAAGAAGCTTATATTCATATTTTTTAAATTTTATTCAGTGGTTATAATTTATTCCCAGTGGGTCAACAACAACAACAACAGCTGGTTCTTACTCGGG